CCTTGAGCCTGCCTTACAGCGATGTTGAGGCGGTGGTCCTCGCACCTGCTAAATTCCGGGATATCCAGCCGAATAACCGCACCGGAACCTTTTACTTGTTCAGACCAAATGACACTTCCTTCCTCATGGTCACAGCTGGCCGTCACTACGTATTCCATCCCCTCATTCTCCTGTTGAAGCAATGCCAGTCGTGTCGGCGAGATTCCATGAAGTTGCGAGGGATTTGAGAAGTCAAGCTCCATAATGGAGAGAGATTCCACACACACGTACACGGTGGCAGCTACTGGCCTTTTGGCGACACGACGACGTATCTCCGCATGCGCTGTCGCCACGCTACCCGTTTCCGTTATCAGAGGCTGCAGAAATGGAAGTGCCTCCGGCTTGTATTTGCGTAGCAGAGAAACTACATCCCTCTCCGCCTCCTCGCATTTCGCTGTTTCTTCCTTACGACAAATAAACCCATTGCACCTCAGCGTCACACCAAGACGTCCAATTTCCCCACCATGACTATCAAACAGTGGAATCCAGCACTCGTTCAATGACCCAGCAACCATTTTCCCCAGTCGAAGCTCGGCAAAAGAAATGGTGGTGGATTGAAGATAGCGCTGCTGCGCCACCTTAAATCGCACTCTCGCGTGATGGGGATCGTCGAGCATCACGACAGCAGCATTTTTGACATCGGATGGAGAAAATGTAATGTTTGCTGAGCCCGATTGCTGCGACGATCGCAGCACAGGCTCGCCATTCAGGTACACCTTCACGTAACAGGAATTCGCTGGTGTCAAGTGACGAATACCAATAAGACGTATTTCCATCGGCGAAGAATACACATCCGGTCCGTATTTTTCCAGCAACGAACGCACCAGCCTCCCTTCACGCCCTGCATGATCCAAAAGAAGAGGCTCTACGCGGTGCAGCTTTTGAGGGGCATAATGGTAGAGTAGCCGTTGGAGTTGCAATCGAGAAGACGCGGGCCCCGTGCCTGCAATGGAGTCCCCGCTAAAATTCACCGCGCATAGTTCCACCTGCACGCACCCTTTAAAATATGCATCACCACTACCAGCATGACGCACCAGTGGTACAGTAAGCGACATGGTTTGTTTCCTTACCAATGTGCGGAGCGTGAAAACAGTTGTGCCCAAATCGGTCGTCTCTGTTCCAGAAATCCCCTTGCCAACGATGGACACAAGAACCTCGTCTCTCTCGGGAAGAAGATCGTGGAATGTGACGGGATCGTTAAAATAGGCCGTGTCATCCTCGCCAACACGCACAGTGCTGCTTTTATAATAATGTAATCCCGCATGAATCACGGCGTATACCGTCTGGCGTTTGAAAATGTTGCGATAAGACGCCGAATGTCTCCCTTCTTCATTTCCGTCGTTGTCTTCAGTCTCGGATGCGCCCATAGAAGCGGCGGCCGCGGGACTGTCCCACGTGGGGACTGACGGCTCCCACCGCTTCACTGAGACTCGAACATCACACCGTGGTGGACACGGGCCAAGGGTCTTTATGTAATGATCCACATCGCACAGCGATGAACTGATCACATCGAGCCTGTGGATAACATGACGAGCGTATTTCCAAAAAAACAAACGGAGACAAGCTGTACGGGCGGCCTCTCCTAACGGATCAAAAGAACCGCCCCCACCGTCCCGGTGAGAAGAATGCTGATTCATATCGCCAGAAAGCGCAATGGTGACGACGCCACTCGGCATCGCCTTCTTCGTACCAGCCGCACGAAAGAGTGTATGCGTGCGCACACCCCCAAATCTTTCTGAGCTGGCAGAGATGAGTACTTTCCCCACAATGGACCCCCCGACAGCCACCGTGAGACGAATGGCTTCCGCCACACCGACCAGAAGCTGGAATGATTCCTTGAATACGGCCACCTGTTGTAACGGCACGGTCCGCGAGCAATGCCGCACGCTGTTCGCCTCCACCCACACCTGACATGCCGGCCCGTTGAGAAACGGAACCCCTTTTTCAGTTATCAGTCCCTGTACATCAAACACAGTGAGGACAACCATGTCGCGATGTTCCCTTTTTTTGTAGCGCGCCAATAAAAGGTCGACTTCACTGGGGGACTTGTCGCAGCAGTAACCGACAATCCACTCAAGTCGATGAAGATGCCGCCGTCCAAATGTCATTAATACATGACGAATACGTTTTCGTAATGATTCCTCCGCTTCTTCTGAAAACGGCGTGGCGGACGCCTGGGCATTCAATCCACCACCGCGCAGGGTGAGACACACTTCCCCACAAACGCAGGCATCGCTTTTTCCAGAATTTCTCACCAATGCCACCCACCGTGTTTGGGGCTCCGACTCCCGTATGTTTCGTAGAGACATGACAGCCTTCCCGAGGCGTTTCATCCGCCCAGAAGACGTTCGCACGACAACTATCAGTGTCATCGCGTCCCCCTGCGGCCCCTCAAAGAGCAGACGCTCATGCTGAAATAAAGAATTTTCTTTAAAAGTCACCCGTGCCGTTTGTGCACACTTCGCCGACGTGCGAAAAATGAAAAAGATAACGCGATTTTTCGCCATGCTCCATGTCAGGAAGTTTCGATAAGATACAATCTCTACTTGAAGAAAATCACGTTGCGGTGGTGATAATCTTTGTTTTGAACCGCCTTGAAGCACAAAGTACTCCTTGCTTGGTGACAATTCCGTCTGCGCATGCGGTGTCGTCCTCCATCCGTCCTGTTTCTCCACCTCTTCCGTTGGAGTCACCCAAGAATTCCGATCGGTGGTGATGGCAGGTGTCAGATGGGATTTGTGAGCCTCCGCGTCAGACACCTGCGGATGCCTCACAGGAGATGCAGGTTGGAATGAAGTTCCCGCTTCACTCGAGTCTCCGTCAAATATCCCTTCAAGCTCCTCCACTGACCCGTTCAAAGAAGACGGGTGGCTCATACAGTCAGCACTGTCTTGGGTAAAAAAAAACGAAGTGACATCTTCTAATGTTTCAACCTCAACAAAACTTGCTGCCTCTTCCTCATCGTCATGGTTTGGATTCTCCGTCTTCTCTTCCCCATACATGTGTGGTGTCTGGGACGGCCGCATACCGATTGATGTAGACTGTGTGTCCTCACAGATTTGACGCACCCACGCCATTCGGGTAATGTGCTCTTGAATCATCGCCAACTCCAGTCGTTGATTCGACTTGTCTTTTGAGTCCACACACACGATATGATGCACCTGCACGCAATTATCCCCCGCGTTATTTGTGGCAATGTACCCAAATGCATAAACAACCTCTCTCTCATATCCCTCACAATGGGGGCGGTAATTGCAATGAATAGCATTCTCTATATACACCATCGCTGTAGAATTGAATGCTGAAAACAATTTTGTACTTCCCCGTTCCATATCCGGTTGCAAAAGTATTGCGTTAACGAGAACACAGTAATCACGTAAAGAGCTGTACGTGGCAAGTCGCTTATATCGCCAATAGAACACCTCTCCCTCAGGTAGAGTAGTAATCCTCATTGAGCTCTCTAAAAAGGGGTCATAACGATGTGTCTGCAAAGGATCTCCGACAAAAGAGAAAAAATTAGCCAGTGAACACGCAATAAATGTGGAAATACGGTATGCCTTTAGAAAGGGTGGTGCTGCAATAAACAAATTTGCGTCACATTCTTCCACGTCGCATCCTTCCTGCCGTCCTCGATACCGCCACATTTTCCCAGCATGCAACTTAAGAAGAGGGCAAAGCACGCGAAGTTGCGCCGTTGTGGGAGGACCGAAGACACATGGCTCGTTTTGGACGAGACCCAAGGGATTTCTTTGCTCCGGCGACCCAACGAGCCCAAAAGCCTTCACCCCGCTCCGTTTTCTCTGCATAAGTGCTAGTTTCCCCCGTGACATCATCTCTTGTAGCATTTCACAGAAGCTTCGTATCCGTGGGATCTTCTTCTCGCAACTTTCCATGACTGCGGCAACGTGTTTGTTTGGGGCATTGACAAAAGTCAGGTGCACACACGGCCCAGGCATCTCATAGGCGATGAAGGCGGAAAGATATACCCACCCCCGTATATTATCAGAAGATACGTGTACGGTCCCCTCATCTTGGACGCTGTGAATGGCATACACGTACACCTTCGAGGGCAATGAGAGAGACGCCCCATTGTTTGAATTGACATTATTATTTTCAGATATCTTTTTATCATGAGAAATACCAACAGCATGGGCACAAAAACGCTGTAAGGCCTCATTGTTACCTACCGCTTCTGGGATTTGGTACATCTTAGATGCATGCCGTGTAATGACCTCCACCGGAGGGCGATGACGGTACACGGTGCGTACCAGCACGGCATCACCCTTTTTGTTAATTACATCATTCGATACCACACCATCATCGTGGTATTGTGCGTTTTTCGGCGTGCTGATAAATGCCATAAAAGTCTCCAAAGTGCAACGTAGGATCCCTTCCACCTTCGTCACGGTACAGCAAATAGTTTGGCAATCCGTCTCTCCGTAAGCGGCCGCGGGAAATTTGTGTGTCGTTTTTTGAACACCCCAGCGGCAAAAACCATTTGTAGCATGACGTATCGGAGAAGACTGCTGACTTTCCTCTACACATAACAAAAGTGCTTCTCTCAGAGCCCAATCGTCATCCATTTTTTTCATCGCACTCACCTATATATAATTATATATATAGTTATATAAGGAATAAAGAGAGAAGGAAGCAAGCATTCTACCTCATGTACACATGCGTAAAGGGCACAGTGAAAGAAAATAAACGCTGGCAGTCCCATAACAACTCTATCACCAGGGACACACACACAAAAAAAAAAAAAACGGCATGGAACACCACAACGCTGAATCAATTATTATGGTTTGCTCTTTGGTTTTCCTGCAAATCGTGCGTAGTTTGCGTATGACTGTCCTACTTTTGATGCGGCTCGCGTCCATGAAAGTGGCACGTGCTGTTGCCGCTCCTCTTCCCGCAACAATCCTGCATGAATCCCCTTTTCTTCCAGACTCATCTCTTCAAAGAAGGTGGGAGACTCAAAGTTTGGAATATTCGGCTCCCATTCCTTTTTTCGCCGCCCATCACCGTCTGCGGTTGCTGCTGCCGTCGTCGTCTTCGTCTTTCCGCCTGAATGCGCCCCCTGCTGCGGCTGCTGACGGAGTCGTCGCTCATGTCGTAGGACGTACTGAATGCGCTGCTTGAACTGCGCATTATGAAGCCGCCGCTCCACAAATGTGGGGGATTTCCCGAGGGTCCGGGCGACCTGTCGGACCGTCGCTCCGCCACGCAGCATGCGATAAATGGCGGTGTCGTCCTCGAATGTGAAGAACTTGCTGTGACTAAACGGGTGGTTTGCGGGATTCCGCAGCTCCTCGTCACTCACGCTGTTGAGGCCAAACGTGGAGTTCATCCACGTCTCCCACTCCAGCGTGGACTTCATGCTCCACGTGTCGCCATCCGCAAAGTCATCCGGCACGCGACGACGCCGCAGCTTCGCCTTGGCCGCAAACCGCGTCTCCCCCGTGCCGCCGCCCTCACGCTTCTCCTCCGCACTCTGCTCGGACCTCCTCTTGTTGAGGGGCGCATTAAGCACACCGCTTCTCTGCAGCATCTCGTACGCCGTGTTGACAACTTTCATTTTTTGGTCGTCGCCACTACTCAAATCGGGGTGGTGCAGCCTGGCGAGGTGCAAATACTGCGCCCGCACCCGCTCGCTGGTGGCGTGCTGCGGGTTGCCGGCGTCAAGTCCCAACACACGGAAGGCGGCAGCGATGTCGGCCGATGTGGGGGCCGCCGCCGCTCCCACCGCACAAAACCGGCGACAGGCGCGTAACATAACACCGCCACGACCCTCCCGCGCTCCGCCGCCCTTTTCTCTTTTTGTTTCACACTTCTCCCCCAAAACGTGCAGCAAACCAGATACAAGAAGAAACAACACAGGAATAATGAATGCATGCAAACGAGCAGAAAGAGAGAGAGACGACAAACAAAAGCAAAAGCAACACACACACAGAGAGAGAGAGAGACAAAATTATTGTATACCTCTAAAGAAGAGAAGAAAAAAAAAAAAAAAAAAAAAAAAAAACGCCGCAAAAGAACACGACCTCCACATCCCTCCTTTCCCCACCCCCCACACTTCCTCGGTTCAAATCCCCTCCTCTTCTCCCAAACAACAACACCAAAAAAAAAAAAAAAAACAACCGACACCGAGACCGAGACCGGGCGAGAGGAAGCACAAACAAGACAAAAAAAAAAAAAAAAAGATACCTCAAACCAAAAAGAAAATAAGTTCATAAATCAACCAAAAACAAAACAAACAAACAAACAAAAAAAGTGGGAAGCAACACGGAAAGAAAACAAAACATTTCTTTTTTTTTTTTTTCTTCACTGGAGACACACACACACACAAATAGGCACACAAATGCAAAATTTCAACCATCTTCCATCGCCGCTCGATCTTTCCCCAAATATGTGTGTGTGTGTATGTGTCCACACGGCACATGGGATCGGTTCTTCCTATTCTCCGCTGCAGCCCATGAGCACTCCCGCTTTCCTCCCCTCAACAATGACGCATTCCGCAATTTCCCCCTTCCCCCTTCTAACCTCACAAACAAACAAACAAACAGAAAAAAAAAAAAGAACACCTTCAGATACATAACGAATCATCCGTACCGCCCCCCTTTCTTCATCTAGCCCACAGAAACTTTCACAACCACGCACACGGACATATACTTATAAAAGAGACCAAACAAACAGAAAAACAACAACAACAAAAAAACAACAAAAAAAAAGGATGAAGAGACACTCACCTACCCACATGCACACGCAGACACACAAATACATGTGTATGCGCCTTTCTTCATCATGCATGCATTTAAAAAAAAAAAAAAAAAAAGAATTAAAAGAAGAAAAAGAGATACAAAGAGAGAGAGAAAGTGGGGGAAAAAAAAAATAATAATAATAATTTAAAACAAATTAAATACACAAACAAACAAACAAAAAAAAAAAAAATGATGAAGAAGCAAGGAAAAAAGAAAAAGTAAAAAAGCACGCACAGTTATTTAAAAACTTATAATAATAAAAAAAAAGAGCTTTTCTTTTCTTTTCTTTTTTTTTTTTGGTTTTATTTTGTTTCCCTTTTGTCTTTCTTTTCCCTCTCAAAGGTTGATTCAAGTCGTCAATCCACCCACAAACACAATGGACAGGCGCACACACACACACACACGGAGAGAGAGGGAGAGAGGGAGGGAGGGAAAATGATTGGGTCGTTAAATTAATCCCCTTCACAAGAAGAAGAAAAGAAAAGACAAAAAAAGTACAAAAGTACAAAACCAAAAAAAAAAAAAAAAAAAAAAAAAAAGAAAAAACGGGATGAGAAAAAACATGAGGAAGAAGAAGAGAAGTGAAGGGGTGCGGGCTGGCTGGAAGGAAAGTCAACATGACTATATATTTATATATAAACGATGCATGCATCTAAAAGCCCATCATTACGCATGCACATGTCCCCACATACAATTTATAATAAACATTACATTACATACATACATGCACAGTCACAAGTGCGTGTTGGTCCAATGACTCCTCCTTCTCTAAACCCCCTCCGTCCCGCTGTCTGGTCGCAGTTCGTACGTGACCAAAAACAAACCAACAGAATCAAAATCAAAAGAAAGCGAGCACCACAGACGGAAGGAAACCAAAAAAAAAAAAAAAAAAAAAATCCTTTTAGAAAACAAAGAAACAAGCGCACGAAGAAAAAAACGATTGATGGGTGAATTTAATTTATTTTACGTCTTTAGCGACGGTGAGTCTTCTTCTGTACATTTTCATTCTTTTCTTCACGCAGCAGCGGATTCCTCACAATTTACATGTGAAATGCAGTAATTTTGGCTATGCCCGCTTTCAAATAGAAAGAGGAGGTGGAGGAGAAGAGAAAAAAAAAAAAAAAAAAAAAAAAAAAGGGGGAAAAGAAGTAAGAGCGCAATTGGTGGAATTTGATGAGAATTGGAATCACCAACCATCCCTTCCTCTCCTCTCTTGTGCCCTCCCTTTTGTTGTTGTTTATTTATTTATTTATTTATTTATTTGTTCTTTTTTTTGTTTTTTTTTTTTTTTCTCTCTTCTTCCTCTTCTCATATATAAAAAGAAAAACACACATGTACATACATGCCTAGATATAGATAACCTCGTTTCCTTCACAGAAATACACACATACACACACATAAATTTATATATTTATATATAAATATAAATATAAATATAAATATTTTGTACCAATGTATGTATGTATGCATTTTGGTACACAATTACATATACTTCCGGGGGTCGGTTTGTATATATATATATGTA